TGGGTGGACTTCAACTCTGGCTGGGGAATTCTGGGAGCTGAAGTCCACCCATCTTCAAGCTGCCAAGGTTGAGAAACACTGCTCTAGTGGCTACGTAGTTGAGTAGCACGCAGGGGATCGCACGTTAAAAAGTTCATGGATGCTTTTGGAAGCAATTTAACCTACATAACTCATTCTGAATAGTCTATGCTACTCAGGCACTTCTCTTGAAATATTTAAAGAACAACAAATTCCATGCCAGGCATAAAGCTGAAAACAAACAACAAATTCTAATCCAGCCTCTGATTTCTGGAAAGTGAAGTACTTGAATTTCACACTCATCACCATCACTGGGTGTTTTTTGGGTGTGTGTGTGTGTGTGTGGCTAAAACAATTGTTTCTTTATCATGTAGTAGTTTGCTTACCAAAATAGTGTAATTGGTCTGAGCTGCTATTGCATTCTTAAATAGCTGCATTTTTTCAGAATTCTGTAGACAAACAAAAAAAGAACAGATATTTTCTAGAAGTACATCTACACACACACAACCCTATTACTGAATAGAAATAAACTTCTACAGCCCAATAAGTCAGGGGCTTATTCCTTTGTAGAGGTGCTTCAGGCAGTCTGTCCTTGGGAACAGAGCTGATCCCAGACTAGAATGCAAGTCTGAATAGAATTTGCCCTTTTATTTCACCTTCTCCTAATGTTGCAACACTTCAGTTAAAACATGGTACCAAAATCAATTTTAAAATGCGTAGTTGAGGTTGAGCCTTCGAAAGAAAAATAGAGAAAAGGGCTCAAATGCAAGTTTAACTATGTAGTTATAGGCTAATGTTCATGTAATGTAGATTTTAATTCTTCATGTTTCACAGGAATGTAGAAATGGGATATAAAAGAACATGTACAAAGTTGTAACCATCCAGATTGAGGCTGATCTGTCCACCCTGCCTTACGGCTGCCTTCCCCAACATGGTTCCCTCCGAATCTGACGGGATTACCACTCATAACAATTCCACTCAATATGTCTGAAAGCTTCCCTAGGAGTCATTAAGGACTACAGGCTCAGTCTGATTGAAGTCAATGGAATTAAAGCACTTTTAATAGTAATAAACCAACCATTAAATGCTTCACTATCTCAAGAATTAGACTTGGACTGATCAGCAAAAAAGTACTTCAAAGCATGTGTGAGCTAAAAGACAGCACTGGACGGAGCTCTTTAAAGCAGCCACATCTTTTCCAGGCATGCTTGCTCTCCTCAGCTGCCATGAGATCCCAGGGATAGATATGGCTGCTTTAAAGAGTTCAGACTGGGGCTGTTTCTCCTCCCACCTATTGAAAAACAAGTCTAAACACTGCACAACTCTATACACTACTGATTTTGTAATGGTTCTGTGATGCATTATAGTTATCCCTTAAGATGAGAAGTTACACCTTCATTTGAGCTTACCAACTACAAGTGGGGCAAAAAAGTATTTAGTCAGCCACCAATTGTGCAAGTTCTCCCACTTAAAAAGATGAGAGAGGCCTG